CTGGGGCCGCTTCCAGCCAGCTGGTGGCACGCCTGGCCCGATGACCAGAGTGCCTGGCTGAGCCCGAGTGTTGCGGGGGCGGGGGGGGGGGACGACCTGACTTGAACCGCCCCCTCCCGTCCCCCGTGGTCTCCGCTGCTGATGCCCGTGCTCCGCAGGATCGCCAGCCGTCAGGGACGCCGAGAGCAGCCTGTGTGTGGAGTATGGGCAGGAGCCAGGCCTCACCCAGCGGAGGCCTGTGGGACTGCTGGCCGCCCTCGAGCACAATGAGCAGCTGGCCGGGGCACCTGGGCACAAGGCCTCCCCTGGGGAGGAGGAGGTGCGGGGGCTCCACAGACAGACAGACCCCCCGCGCTCTGCCACCTGGCCGCTCTGTGCCTGCCCTGCCCCAGGCCCTCAGCTGGGGTTCACCCTACACCCCCTGTGGGCTCTGTGGGAGTTGACACGGGCCCGTCAGTGTCCAGCTCCTACTCCACCAGAGGCCAGCCCTTTCTGGGGTCCCGAGCTGTGGGGGGACACAGCTTCTCCCCTGGAGCTTTCGCACTGAAGCTTAGCTCCGGCTGGACCTGGAGCTCCCTGCACCCTGCTTGCCTCTGGGTGCGTCCCCGCCCTTCTGTGTCCCGCTCCGTGGGCCCTGGGGTGAGCCCAGCTGCGACAGCGGGTGGCAGCACCCCGCCCCTGCCATCTGAGCCCCCCAGGCACTGTAGCAGCTCACTGCCTGAGCCACGAGCCACGAGGGAGCCCAGTTGTGCTGACTCGGGAGAGGGCCCGTCTCCCCGGGTTTGGGCCCCAACAGTGTCACAGGGGGCTTTGGGGGCTCGGAGGGCACGGCCAGGACCACTGTGTGTCACCCTCAGGCACAAGGCCTCTCCACCGTGTCCCTCCCACGTGAGAAGAGGCGTGCCCAGGAGCAGAGAGCAGGGCGGAGGAAGATCAGGGTGGTCGGTGGTCGCCAGGTACATGAAGCACCCACATGCATATGGGGGTGGGGTGAGGGCAGGAGCCCCAGGCTGCATGGCCCCCGGTGCTGACCGGGGAGTGTGAGGTGGGGGGCCGGGTCTGAGGCAGGGCCTCCTTGCTGCCTTCCCGAGGGGCAGTGTGGCCCCGTACCCTTGGCTGTCCGAGGCCTGCGCCATCCCCGCCTTTGTTTGGCTGGAACGTTTAAATGAGCATCTTCTCAGCCTCCTGTCTTCGTGGATGAGCCTGTTCTGACCACTCCCAGGACCTCCTTCTGCCCCCTGGGCTCAGGCTGCATGGTCTCTGCTGCCTCCCAGCATCTGTGCCGCTCTGTGTCAGGGCCCTGCCCCGCACAGCTTCCAAGTCTCTTTTCCATTTTAACTTTTCACTGTGCGAGCATCTCCGAGCCCAGTAGAGCTCTCAGCAGCAGCCTGCGCCCCAGCCGTGCAGCGTTGCCCTGCCTGACCTTCTTCGCCTTCCCCAGGCCCCACAGTGTCTCCTCGACCTGGGGTGGCTCCTCCGTACTTTTGAATCCTGCACACTCGTGGTCAGCTTTGGGCCTCGCATTTAGTTTTCCTCTTCTGGGACAGCACTTTATGGATGATACGCCAGGGTCCAGCTGGACAGAAGTCAGGTTTGGTGTGGGGCCTGCAGCCAGACCAGCTCCCCCAGTCAGTGCTCATGTGTGGGCGCTAACGTGCCCAGCTGTGGGGAGGGCCTGCTTCTCAGCCAGCCTCAGAGGAAAGCACTGAGAGGCCCCTGAGCTAATCTGAGCCAGGAAAGCTCTGGAAAGCCCCATGCACCACTTGTCTTTGTCCATGTCCCTCAGCTTCTGGGAATAACTGGGCGGGGCTGTGGGGGGGGGGGACTGTTGCTATCGGGAAGTGGGCAGGGTGCCAGGGGCCTTGGCATCCGGCCAAGCTGGACAGAGACTGGGGAGCCTAGACCTCTCCTGTCTGCTTTCTGGGCTTCCATGCTGGGGGTCCAGTGTGTGGGCCTGAGATGTGCAGCAGAGAGGAGGCGTGGGGATGTCAGGAAGTACCCCTTCCTGTGAGCTGACTGCCCCTTGAGCCAGGGCTGCCTGCTGCGTGGGTGCAGGGGACTTGGTAGAGGGCCAGGAGCCGCCAGCCCAGGGTGAACAGATCTGCACTTGGCCTCTTCTGCTCCCAGAGGGGCACGTCGGCCTTAAACTGAAGCCGCCACGATCCCCTCCCTCCAGCCCAGCGTCACCATGCCTCGGGACGAGGGCACCCTTCCCAGCAGTTGCTCTCTGCAGTAGTGGCAACCCCTCCGGGAAGCATGGTGGCCCCGGCTGATGGGGCGTCCGGTCCTGTGTTGAGCAGGAGGGGCCGGCCGCCGGTACACAGGTGGGCAGGGCCAAGCTGTTCATGGTGGCCGTGAAGCAGGCGCTGAGCCAGGCCAGCTTCGACACCTTCACCAGGGCCCTGCAGGACTACAAGGGCTCCGACGACGTGGAGGCTTTGCTGGGCTGCCTCGGCCCACTCTTTGCTGAGGACCCCAAGAAACACAGCCTGCTCCAAGGTGCTCTGGCCTGCGGCGGTCACCCGTCGGGGGGGGAGGGGCAGCGCCACAGCCGCTGGAGGGGGTGGGCACCGGGGTCCCTAGAGAAGGTGGGGGGGGTGGCCCGTGACCCCAGAGCCCCCGGCTCAGCATGTTGGCCGCATGGTGGAGCCCGCAAGCCCAGACGCCCCTCCCCACAGGCTTCTACCAGTTCGTGCGGCCGCACCACAAGCAGCGGTTCGAGGAGGTCTGCCTGCAGCGGACGGGCCGCGGCTGCGGCTTCTGGCCCGAGCACAGCCTTCCTCAGAGGCAGTGGGCACCAGCAGCCGAGGCCCCCAGTGGTGAGCGGGACCCTCAAACCCACCCCCCGAGAGCAGGGCAGGCAACTGCATGTGTGTGCCCCCCGGAGCATGCACGGCCCAGGCGCAGGCCCCCTGTGAGTCGCACGAGCATGGTGGGCCCTGCACCTCCAGAGCTTGGGAGCTTCTGTCTCCATTCCGTAGCCGACCCCTGAGCAGGGACTTCCGCAAGGACAGGTGTCATGGGGACCTGGCTTAGGAAGACCCCTTGACCCCTAGCAGGGGATCTTCCAGCCTGAGAGTCACCCCTCTCCTTTCTGGGCTTGGTGTCCACTGGGGTGCGTCTGTGCCATCTCCCTGGGTGCAAATCTGGGTCTCCCTGCTGTGGCCTGAGGAGGGTTGTGGTCTCAGTCTACCCTTGGATGGACCTGCCTTCTCCCCGGGGAGCACTCCAGACCCTTGGGGACCGGCTGGATAGCTCTTCGTGTGCCCATGTTCTTTCAGGAGAGAAGGGGTGGGACTCAAAGCTGACCCTGTCCCAGGGTGCAGCCAGGCAGCTGGACCCCGGACAGCACCTGAACCAAGGCAGCCCCCACCTGGTCCCCGGGCCAGCCCCTGCAGGTACCCGTCCCTGAACCAGAAATAGATGAAGACCCCTGGCGGGGAGGAGTCTCCAGGGGGGTGGGGTGGGGTGGGGTGGGGGCCTCCTCTGGTTCTGCACCTCCAGAGCGAGGGAGGTGGCTGGTGTGAAGGGGTTCTCAGGACGCCCGTGGAGCTCGCTGGGCCCCCAGGCCCCTGGCGTGGTCCAAGACCTGTTACCTTCTCACCAGGAGAGCCCAGCAGTTGTCCCAAGGAGGGGTGCAGAGCCCCCAGCGCAGAGAAGCAAGGCCAGCCTGCTGCGAGCGCCTACTTGGCGGATGTCCGAAAGGCCCTGGGGTCCGCAGGCTGCAGCCAGCTCCTGGCGGCACTGACCGCCTACAAACAGGACGATGACTTCGAGAAGGTGGTGGCCGTGGTGGCCGCACTCACAACCTCAAAGCCTGAGGACTTGCCCCTGTTGCAGAGCAAGTGGCCACGGGAGGGGACTTGGGGTGGGGGGGCTGGGAGGGACTGGGGGCAGGGCTGAGCCTGACCCTCCCCCCACAGGGTTTGGCATGTTCTTGCGACCCCACCACAAGCGGCGTTTCCGGCAGACGTGCACAGACCTGATGGGCCCGGCTGCCCGGAGCACAGGTACTGGGCCGCCAGGCCCCCAGGAGGGGAGCCCCACTGTGCCTCCCGACCTCGCGCACGGTGCTTCCAGGCCAGGTAATCCAGTGTCCCCCGACCCCCACTCAGCCCAGCAGGCAGAGAAGCCCCAGCCGCCTGTCAGACTCGCCCCTCTGTCTCCAGGGCCCCCCCCAGCAGGAGACACCCCGGAGGACCCAGAGCAGGCTGTCGGCCTGCCTTACCCGGAGGCAGGCTGGGGATGGCGGGGCTCCCAGCCAGCCCCCCAGCGCCGCCCGCAGGCACGCCCCGTCCGAGTCGGGTAGGTCTCGGGAGGGGCCACAGGCAGTGGTGGCCGCGGGGTGGACGAGCTGCGGCATGCTCACAGCGGCCCCCTCGCAGCAGGCTTGGCGTGCCCTGGCTGCAGGGCAGAGGACACGGTCCCCTTCCAGTGCCCCTCCTGCGACTTCCAGCGCTGCCGGGCCTGCTGGTGCCAGTTCCTCCAGGTTGGCCGCGGTTGGGCAGCTGTCCCCCACCCGGTGGGCTGGGGAGGGGCGGGCAGCGGCGCCTGTGCAGTGCTCCCTGTCTCCACAGGCTTCTAGAACATGCCCGGCCTGCCATGCCCCCGCCAGGAAGCAGAGCATCACGCAGGTCTTCTGGCCAGAGCCCCAGTGAGCATGGCAACCCTGGGGCAGGCTGACACCGCGTGGACACGGGTCTCCCTGAGGGGTCTGCGCCCGCCTAGACGCCCCGAAGCCACCTTGGGGTCTGGGGTGGGTTGGCTCACTTCCCTTGGCTGCCGGCTTGTGGGTGGAGCGTCAGGTGCTCAGGACTGGAAGGTGGGGGGGCTCTCTGCTCCCTCCTCCGCGGGACGTGGGTGGGCTGTGGACCTGCTTTTAATCAGGTGACCGGCTGTCTAATAAAGTTGCTGACACCCTATTGGGGCTTGGCGGAGGGGTTGAGGGTGCTGGGAAGATGTGGGCGTCTGAGTGGGGTCCCCCTCCCACCCTGTCCGCGCAAGGGCATGCCGAGCACTTGGTCCGCCCAGCGGGGTGGGAAGATGCGGGACACCCGAGGGGAGCAGAGCCTGGGACATCCCCACGCCGCAGCACCCCCGCTGCTGGTCCTGGTGCAGGGGGGCGCCCTCACAGGCCCGATGCCTGGACTCCGCTCTCAAGCCGGCTGGCGCCAGACGGGGGCAGGGAGGGAGAGGGGGCTTCCTGGTGAGGGAGGGACCGCGGGGTGGTGACGCTGCGGAGAGCCGGGGCACGGGTCAAAGTGTGGCCCCCCGGAGGGCGTGAGCCCTCCCCCAGAGGCGTGGCAGGGCCAGCCCATATAGGCCACCACCGCAGCCCGTCAGAGTGGGGCGGCAGCGGCCGAGGGCGGGGCTGCCGGTGCCCGGGCGCGTCGTCCTGGTGCGTCCCTGCTGCTGGGCCCCGCGGAGGCCGAGCCGCTGCCCCAGGGAGAGCCATGTGGACACCGGAGAGGCGGGGCGCACCGCCCCTGACCCGGCCGAGCGCGCTGCGCGCCCTGCTGCTGGCTCTGGCGGCGCACACGGCCGCGGCGGCGGGCGCGCTCACCTACCCGTGGCGGGACGCGGAGACCCGGGAGTGGCTGGTGTGCAGCCAGTGCCCCCCAGGCACCTTCGTGCAGCGGCCGTGCGGCCGGGACACCCCCACGATGTGCGGTGCGTGCCCTCCACGTCACTACACCCAGTTCTGGAACTACCTGGAACGCTGCCGCTACTGCAACGTCATCTGCGGGGAGCGCGAGGAGGAGGCGCGGCCCTGCGAGGCCACGCACAACCGCGCCTGCCGCTGCCGCCCCGGCTTCTTCGCGCACGCCGGCTTCTGCCTGGAGCACGCCCCGTGCCCGCCCGGCACCGGCGTGGCTGTCCCCGGTGGGCCGCGGGGGGGCCCGGGGGGGGCGGCGGGGCCGGCGGGTAGCGGCCCCGGACGTCAGCCACCACTGAGGACAGCGCCCCGGTCCCCCCTGACCCCTTCCTCCCCATCTCGTCCCCAGGCACCCCCAGCCAGAACACGCAGTGCCAGCCATGTCCCCCTGGCACCTTCTCGGCCAGCAGCTCCAGCTCCGAGCAGTGCCAGCCCCACCGCAACTGCACCGCTCTGGGCCTGGTCCTCAACGTGCCGGGCTCCTCCTTCCACGATGCCCTGTGCACGAGCTGCACGGGCTTCCCGCTCAGCACCGTGGCGCCAGGGGGGCCAGGTGAGTGGGGGGCGGAAGGGGCCAGGGGAGCGGGGGGCGACGGCAGCCCTGGAGCACGAAGCATTTAGCTGGCTGGCCTCTTGTGGTTTCAATGCTGGCAGTGATGCTCTCCCCCACCCCCCCGCCGACCCCCCGGGGGAAACGGAGTCCCAGAGAGTCTAAACCGCTTTCTGGAGGTCACACAGCACTGTGTCATCTCACCCTTGCACCCTGGGGCCCCTGGCCTCTCCCAGCCCTGTGCCTACCCCCCAGCACTCCCGCACCTCCTTGCTGGCCCGGCCTTCCACCTCTGCCCTGAACCCACGGGCAGGGACTTCTCTTGCTGGGTGTCCCCCTGGGGCAGACGGAGGCCTCTACCACTGCGTCCTGACCCTCCCGCAGGGGCTGAGGAGTGCGAGCGCGCCGTCATCGACTTCGTGGCTTTCCAGGACATATCCTCCAAGAGGCTCTTGCGGTTGTGGCAGGTCCTGGCGGGCCCGGAGGCCCAAAGTCTGGTGGCACCGAGGGAGGGCCGCACAGAGCTGCAGCTGAAGCTGCGGCAGCTGCTCGCGGAGCTCCGGGGTGCACAGGCTGGGGCGCTGGGGGCGCGGCTGCTGGGGGCGCTGCGGGAGGCCAGGCTGCCTGGGCTGGAGCGCAGTGTCCGCACACGCTTCTGGGTGCACTGAGCACCCTGCCCCCCGTTTATTCTGCTCCCAAGCTTTGGCCCCACGTGGGCATCATCCCCATGGCACCAAAGTAACCTCAACTGACCGACTAGGCTCCTGTTGCACTAACAAAGTTTATTTTTTATAAAGCCGTTTTGTAAAATGGGTTGTGTGAAACTATGTGTGTCTACGGATTGCACGGTGGGCACATCTGGTGGGGACAGCCCCCCCGGGGTGGGCCCTCAAGCTCCCCACGCTGCTTCTGCCTGCTGGTCGCCCCAAGTGGGACCGACCCTCGATGGGAGGGATCGTTAAGACACGCCAGGGGGTAGCAGGTGCATTCCTTCCAGCTGTGGACACCACGGATGTCCCTGAGGCTCACTCCATGACCCCCTAGGTCACGCTCTGTAGCTACGACAGTGTGGAGGGAGGGTCACACCAAGTCTAGGGGCTCTGGCAACAGGACCCAGCTCGGACCGGGCAGCAGAAGCCTGTGCCCTGTGCCACCAGAAGACCCTGCCCCCTCACCCTGCCCCTCCAAGTGAGCCCCACCCAGTCCCAGCACAGGGGATTTCCCAGGACCAGACCGGCCAAGGACCTCCCCCAGGCTGGTGCGTCCCACACCTTTTCTGGGAAACAAGGCTTTTCCCCTCAGGCAAGCTCAGAAAAGGGCTGGATGGCTCCCGGGCAGCGTGGGGGACTCCCAGCCTGTCCCATGGACCCTGGAGCGCCGTGCCTGATCCCCATGAGGAGCCCACGACTCCCTGTGAGTCACCTCACCTGCAGCTGCCTCCCCAGCCCCAGCCCGGACTCAGCCTTTCTCAGCAACCCCTCCCAGGCTCCCACCAGGGACCGGACCTCAGGAAGCCACCAGGTGCCCGGCTCCGGCTCAGCCATTCCTGCCGAAGCAGGAAGACGGTGCCCGGGTAGGTCACAGCTCCAGCCTTGGGGGCCCCTCGTGCCGTGGTCACTGTGCCCAGACAGCTGGGAGTCCACACCCAGGGTCAGGTTCCTGGAAGGGCGATGGCCAGCAGCAACTCGGACCGCCGTCCTGGACACACCCCAGCCAGCTCCAGCGGGGGCCATGTCGGGAGGGTCCCCAGGACCAGTCTCACCCGGAGAGGGGGCCCTGCTGCCAGGCACAGCCCGGAAGCGGGTTTCGAGACAGCCTGTCCCTTGCCCCCAGCTGGGAATGAAGGCCCAGCACAGCCCCAACCTGGGCTCCACGGGAACCCAGCCCACCTTCCCAACGCCCCCACCATGCACCCCCACCCCCAATGCGGGCAACTGGCTGTCCCAGATTGGCCACAGACACTCGGAGAGGGGACACTCACTCCTTCCCCTCCTGCTGGGGATCAAAAGGTGATGTCAGGCCAGCGGACAATCTCCTGTGCCCCGTCCTGAGGGCCCAGAACCCAGGGCCCTGCTGGCCTCCAGCAAAGGGGGCCAGGTCTCCCTCCCTCAAGAGGACACCAGCCCCCAACCCAACTCCACGGAGAGCAAGGACAGTCATGACCCCAAGGGCCTCCCCCGTGGGGGGGGGGGGCTACACGGAGCAGCTCCGGGGAAGCCCGTTTCCAGACAGGACCCCCTGGGGAAGGCAGGCAGGGCTGCTGAGGCAGCAGCTCCAAAGGGAGACCTCACCCCAGCAGGCCCGGCAGGGGTCATGTGGGGGCCCTGCTGCCCCAACTCCCCTCAGCAGAAGCCTCCCGATACCTACACTTGTATGGACACAAGGACAAGTTTGTCTTAAAAGAAAAAACAAAGCAAATGAAGAACCGAGAGCCAAGCAAACCCAACCCCCAGGACTGGCAGCAGGGAGCCAGCAGGAGCACTCCTCTGGCACTCAGGGATGTCGTGGGCACCAGCGGGCACCAGCCATGCCTACGTGATGTCCCTCTGCCGCGGCGGCCGGTGCACGTTCCGCACGACGCACTTCACCATCCACTCGATGCCCTCGCGTACCCCTTTGCTGTGGAGACAGCAGGCATGAGGGGGGGGCCACCTGGGGCCCCCAGCCCCCGGGGCAAGAGCCCCACTCACCCCGTGAGGGCCGAGCAGGCCTGGGTCAGGCAGTCGCGCCTGCCGATCTTGGAGGTGCAGTCGCTGAACGCAGTCTTGATGTCAGGGATCGAGAGGCAAGTCTGGGGGAGGGCAAAGCAGTGAGGAGCAGGGTCCCAGGCACTGCAGGACACGCCCTGGCCCCTGGGGCAGGACACGGTCTTGGCGGTGAGGGGCTGGGCTCAGGGCTTCTCTGCCTAGAGGAATCCTGCGATGAGTGGTCTCGGAGAGAGGAAAGAAGTAGCACCGATGGTCCACAGGAAGTGAGGGGCAGGCCACACGAAGTGACCTCCAATGCCCCTGACCCGAGGGCACACGTGCTGCACAAACAGGCCCCGCAGAGCCTCCACCCCTGCAGACTGCCACGGAGCAGCCACTGCCCTGTAGAGCCCCCCACCCCACTGAGCAGACTGCCACAGCCACTGACCTGCAGAGGGCCCCCCCACACACACACACACCAAGCAGACTGACGTGGAGCAGCCACTGACCCACAGAACACCCCCACCCAACCAAGCAGACTGCCACGGCACAGCCACTGCCCCGCAGAACCCCTCCAGAACAGAGCAGACTGCCACGGAGCAGCCACTGCCCAGCTGAGGCAATCCCAAGGGCAGCAGACTGGCCAAGGTTGGAGCGGACTCCCACCCTGGGATCCCTTTGCGCTAGGGTCTCCCTGCCACACCTCCAGCCACGCCAGGGGCAGAGGGATAGGCCACGCCTGCCCTCCTGTGGAGAGAAGCCTGCACCTTGGAGGGCTCTGTGAACCCGGGACACACACGGCTTGGGGTTTCCAGCTGGGGGCACCTTGTCCCCCAACTCCTGGCGATGGGGTACGCTCACTCTGGGGACCACAGGGTGGGCTTGCTGCGATGAGAGGCTCACCTCAACGTCCTGCTTGTTGGCCAGCACCAGGATGGGGACACCGCCCAGCGCCTCACTGGTGACCATCTTCTCTGGGGAGCACAGAAATACGGCAGTGAGTACCCTTCACCTGCCTCCGACTGTTGAGGCCTGCCCACCCCTCTACAAGCTTGTGTGCTCACTCTTGGCCACGGCCCCATCTGCCTGGTGTGGGCCCAACCTCCTGCCAAGGCTGCAGACACAACGGACCTGACCGTTCCCCAGCCCCTCCCAGCCCTAGCCAGGCTGTACGTACCAAACGCTCGCTTGGACTCTGATAGCCTCTCCTCATCCGTGGAATCGATGACGTAGATGACGCCATGGCACTCTGCGTAGTACTGGGGAGGAGCAGAAAGGGGGTGCTGGGCCACAGGCACCGGGCCACCCCTCCCCAACCGGAAGGCCCTTCTGGGGTGCCTTTAGGGGGTGGGAAGGTGGGGCGGAGTGGCGATGCAGCCCTAGACTTCAGGGAGGGCCTGCTGGCCTTGGGCAGGGGGTGGCCACCACCCTCTGTCCACTTCCCAGGTGCTGTGCCCCCAAACTCCACTTCAGCATCTGCTCCTGAAAACCGCCTGACTGCTGGCCCGATGGGGACTGAGGGAAGGGCAGGACTTGGGAGCTGGAGCCCACGCGGTTCTGGAAGGAGAGGGAGGGCACTAACCAGATCACGTGCCAGTGTGGACGGCAACCGTGGTGGCCATATCGCTGCTAAGTCACAAAGACCACCAAGGGGGAGAGGCAAGGCTAAGGACCAGGCAGGCCAGCAACACGGAGCTCCGCAGGCTGGACTGCGGTCAGGACAGCGCTCAGCCCTGGGCGTGCATACGACCATGGTGCCAGAGCCCAGGGCCTGGGGAAGAGTTCTGCGCAGACAAAACTGGACAGACGCACCAAGTGGGGCATGTGAGGGGTGGGCCCTTGGAGTGTGGGGATGGGGGATGCAGCCACAGACTGGGTGAGTCTGCCCCAATCAGAAAAGAAGACTGGAAGTGCCCACATCTGCTAAGCAGACAGCATCTTTGCCCCAGCTGTCATGAGAGCCCAGAAACCTGGGAAATCCACGTTACACATGACGTGACAGGAGGCAGGACAAGCCTACGGCTGGTGAACGCGAGACCCTGAAGAGGAACAGGCCTAACAGCTCCGGGAAATTCTCAGATTGTAACCAGGGCATGCTGAAAGCTCCCACCCGCCCCATGTGAGACAGGCTTTGTATCTGCGCTTGCTGCAGAGAAGGAAGCCCAACACAGGTGGCCATCCGGGTTCTGCAGGCCGCCAAGTCACACACACAGCAACTTCCCAAGCCTACACGCTGGGTGACGGGGGGGGGGGGGGGGGGGGTTGCACGGCAGGAAGGGCCGCTGCATGGGGCTGGCAGCAAGCCCAGGGAGAAGGTCACCTCACAACCCCTGCAGTGTGTGACCCAGCCCAGGCAGACGGGTGGTCAGGTGATGGCCCGGCAGTGGTGAGAGCAACGGGAGCTGGACATGTGGGGCTGAGCATGAGCAGGACTGAGGGCACAGCAGGCTGCCTCGACCCCAAGGTACCCTGACAGCAGCATCACCCGTGGCCACGTACTGGAGATCTTTCAGGTGTGGCCTGGAGGGACAGCGGCCAGAAGTGCCCTGTGGCAGGCACAGTAATCCACCAGTCTCCTCTGTGTGGGAAGCTGTGGCCCAGGGCTGGTATGTGGACAGACCCCTGGGCAGCAGCACACAGCCTGGGTGGAAGCAGTGGACACAGGGAAGGCCCACCCGTCATCTGCCCGGGACAAAATGATAGCAAGCCCAACACAGCATCCGGTGTCAGACTGTGCAGGCGGCCACGCCCTGGGACGCAGCATCTGGAACAGGGGAAGCAGCAGCTCTACTTCCCACCCTCTTGCTGACCCACAGGGGGCTCTGCTGCCCCTCCTCACAGCTCTGGGCCCTGAAGGGTTGGGGGCATGGTCACCACCAAGGCACCCCTTTACCAAAGACTGGGCAAAAGACCTGCTGAGTCACAAACTCTGGCTGCCTGCTGGCCACGTCAGACACCGTGGCTTCAGGGACCAGCAGAGACCCCGCCCTGGCAGGGATAACCAACCCCAACAGCGGAGGCAGGGGGCCCGCTCCACGGGGGGCCGGGAAGCTCATGAGGAACCCAGAGGTCAACCAGAGAAGTGGGGCTCAGCAACCAGGGGTTCAGGCTCGTGATGAGCCACACCACCAGCTGGCGTGGTAGCTAGGGTGGAGGACGCAGCCCTGGAGAAGCCACCAGGCAGAGCTGTGGGTGCAAGCGGCGAGCAGTGCGCCCAGTGGATCCAGGCGATGAACCTGTTGGCTCCTGCAGGATGTGCTTGAACCCAAGAGCCGCCTCCCCAAATCACAGATGCCCAAGGCAGCCCACCATGGTAATGGACCAGGCAGTATGAATCCTGGTCAGCTTGGCCTGATGTGGGGCAGCTGTGAGGAGCGATTCTCCTCCAGGGGTCCCTGCTGGGCCACCCACTTGAGCTGACCCTTCCCCCTGCCCAGTCCCACATTCTCCCAGCTTCCCTCCCAGGAGCTAGTCTTCAACATACAACCTGCACCCCAACCTCCACCTCGGTGTCTGCTCCTAAGACCCTGTTCTGCGACAGAATGTCAAGTCCTGCTTCCCTCTCCACGTGGGTCTTGGTTCAGAAAAGCAGGCCCTGGCTTCGCTCTGCCTGGAGGACAGCCCAACCTAAATGGCCAGAGAATCTGTTGGTGACCTTCTAGCCACCAGACAGAAACTACAGCAGAGAACGCCTTCGAAGGAGACTGAGAAAAGGTGATTGGGTCCCAGCTGCTGCAAGCAAACCAAACTCAGGACCTGGATGCTCAGTTCCAGCATCTGACAACCAGTAAGCGTCGGGGTGAGCACTCCTGCGCTCCCAGAATCGGGGCAAGCGCACCAGCACTGCCAGCGTTGGGACAGGCCCATCTGTGCCCCCACTGTTGGGCTGCACCAACTCCACAAGGAGGGGGCTGCCTAAGGCAGAGGCTAGGTCTGTCCAGCTCACTGCTGGACCACAGGGCCCGGCACCAGCCGAGCTGAAATGAGCACACTGGTGGAGTGCCTGGGAGGAAGAGCATCACACTGGTCCCAGAAGTGCCCCAAACCTATGTCAGGGAGGAGGCAGTGGCTATAGGCCTCTGTGAGGACCCCCTCCCCGGATGCGTCAGAGGCCACCACAGAAGACAAGTCCTAAGGCAGAGGAAAGGGGGCCCAGCCACGGAGACTCAGGCCCCAGTGGTGACGCTGAGCATCCCGCAGGCATTGTCCCTTCCCCACACCTGTCTCTGGGCCACCTTTTGTCTTGTCCTATGGTGATCAGCAGCAAAATCTCCAAGTCAAAAGGAACTGAGTGTGTCCTTGCTCCTCTGGGAAGGACACGGGAGCTGGACTAAGACCGGGGGGAACCTCAAGAACAAAGCTGCTGACGAGAAAGAAACAAGGGGAATCCGCAGCCTCTGAGGAAGGTGAGGACGGGCGGAGGGTGTCACCTAGAGAAACATGGCAGCACATGGCCGGGAACCGTGTGCGGTGACTCTCTTACCTTGTCCCACAGAGACTGCAGCTCTTCTTGGCCCCCTAAGTCCCAGAACATGAGGCGAGCCTTCCCCACGTCCACAGTGCCGACTGGGGAGAGAGGGGGACAGGTGACGCCGGGGCCCTGGTCTCCGGGAGAGGGACGAGCTGCTCTGGGGCTCCCGGACGGCGGGGCCCACGGGAGCTGCTGACCATCTGCCGGCTGGCCTGTGGGATCGGCCCCACAACCCACAGCCCTAAGGGACCCCCTTACTGTTCAGACCCACGGTGGTCGTGATCTTGGACAGACTCATGCCCTTGTAGTTCTTGTTAAACCGGGTTTTGGACTGTTCCAGGAACGTCTGAGAAGAGACAGACGCGCAGCAGGTGAGGCCCGGGTCCCTCCAAGCCCGTTTCCCAAACATCCCTCCTTGGGTCTACAGCAGCAGGCGGGGACGAGCCGGCAGCCTCCGACGGGGCTGCGGTTCGGGGCGGACAGTAACCGCGCAGCGAGGGGTACGGATCCCCAGCGCCTCGGAGGCGTGCTGACCAGGAACAGGCACCCACCGTCTTGCCGGCGTTGTCCAGACCCAGGATCAGGATGCAGTACTCGTCCTTCTGGAACACGTACTTGTAGAGGCCCGACAACAGCGTATACATCCTGCCCTGGGCGGCGGGAGACACGGGTCGCGGGCCGGCCCCGCTTCGCGCTCAGCCTGGGGGAGGGGGCCCCATGGCCGCCCCCAACCCTCCCCGGCCGCCCTCGCCCCGCCCCCGCCCGCCCCGCGCGCGCAGCTCCCCGGAGGCGGGGCCGGCCCCGTCCCCCGCCCCGGCCTGGGCGTCAGGCTTCCCCGGGCTCGGCGGCGCCCCCGGCCGGCCCCGTCCCC